TGGTCTGCCCGCGCCCGCCTGCCGGGATAAACCCCACAATAGAATGACATGTGAGTCCCGGTCACGTGTGTGTAGTTTTGCACAGAATCACGCGCCCTTGCCCCTGGCCCCGAAGGGCTGGGAATGCGCCTTTCTGCGCCCGTTGGCTTCGCTGCCGTGTGTGTGAGAGAGAGAGAGATAGAGCCTTGGGCCGCCGTCTTTCTCCGCCCGTCTCTAATTTCTCGGGGTTCAGGGGGGGGGGGGGGGGGGGACGCGGGCGGGGGCGGGACGGGGGCGGCCCGGGGGGGGGCCCGGGCCCCCCCCCCCCCCCCCCCCCCCCCCCCCCCTGTCCGCCCGGTATGCCTCGTGGGAGACACAGGCCTCGCTGACCAGCTACTTCCGCTTCAGCCATGAGTACGAGGCGGCTTGCGATCGAGCTGCCAGTATCCGAGTGGCCGATGCCCCGGCCCAGCTGGCCATCGCGGCGCAGGAGCGTTCCGCCGCCAAGCGGCGCCTCTTCAAGACCGAGTGCAATTTCATCCAGGACTTGCGCCAGGTGAAGCGCAGCTACATCGTCAGCCTCCTGGACATGGTGCGTGCGCATTTGGCAGCCTCGACACATCTCGCCTGGCGTCTGGGTGGCCCGACCTTGTGCCTGACCTTTTTGTCCCCCCCCCCCCCCCCCCCCCCGGGGCTCCAGGTCATTGATTTCATCACGTCCACCGTCTCCTTCAACAAGTTGTCCCAGTCCACCTTCGCCCAAATGGAGCCGCTTATTAGTCTCGGCTTTTCGGAACTCGAATCGGTGCGCCCCCTCCCCCGCCTGTTCAGAGCTCCCTGGTGTGTCGTTTGCACGTACTCACGGGCATGCTCGTGCATGTTGCCCCCCTTTTCCACCCCGCCATCCAGGTGAAGAGTTCCTTCGCCGCGCGCGCCAGCCGCGAGCAGGAGGACATGGAGCAGGCCATCGCACGCGGCGACAGCAAGATGAATGCCGAGCTCATCCAATTCCAAATCCACGACGTCAATCCCCTGGTTGGGGCGTCGGCCGACTCGATGGTGTCGGCTGGCGAGCTGTCGGCCGGGGATCTGACCAGCCCGAAGGATCCCCTGGCTCCTGGCGGCTCGGCCCCGCCCCCGGCGGCCCCTGCGAGCGAGGACCCGACATTGGACAAGGCCCCTGAAGGCGGCTTCCCGGACCGGCATACCGGATATCTGTATCTCAATGAGAAGCGTCCAGGAAGCAAGTGGACCAAGTACTACTTCATGATCATCGACAACTTCCTGATGTACCAGCATCGGACAAGAGTATGTCGGCCTCGGTTTGCCTTGCTCCCCCGCTCTTTTCCCGATTCCATGCCTCTTTGCTGTCCTGCATCATGGACTCCTCGTGTGTGTGTGTGTGTGTGTGTGTGTGTGTGCTTTTTTGCCCCACGCACCTTGTCACTTGCTAACTCGGCGTTGGGCAAAAAAAAAAAAAAAAAAAAAAGGTCGAGCTCCCGAGTGCTGGTGTGGATCTCCTCCTGTGCACCGTCAAGCCTGCGGAGCAGGTGGACCGTCTGTTCTGTTTCCATGTCATTTCACCGAGCCGGTCCCTTTTGCTTCAGGCCGAGTCCTCGGAGGAGGCGCGCGGATGGATTTTGGCCATTCAGAACGGTATGTGGTTGCCGACACTCCTTTGCCTTTCTGTCATTGCCTTCCTCCCCCTTCCCCTCCTCCTGCCCCCTCCTGCCTCCGGGGCGGCGTATGGAATTTCACGCTGACCCTTTCCTCACGCGGGCCCCACCCGGTCAGCCATTGGTCGGGCCATTGAGCAGCAAAAGCAGCAGCGTCCGGCGGACCATTCCCAGCCTGAGGCAAATCCACCGGTGAATGCCATCCCATGGGCGGCGGCCAGCGCGCGGGAGTCCACCCTCCCACCCGCCGACACGGCCACGGCCGCCGAAATCGCAGAACACCTCCGGGCCTTGTGCGAGCTCCCGGACAATGGAGCATGCGCGGATTGCGGCACGCTCAAGCCCAAGTGGGCCAGCATCAGCCTCGGGATCTTGGTGTGCATTGCCTGCTCTGGCGTCCACCGGTCCCTCGGTGTGCACATCTCCCGTGTGCGCTCGGTGGAATTGGACTGCTGGCGACCTGATTGGGTTCGATCGTTGGCGGCGCGGGGCAATGCTGCCTCCAACGCCCGATTCCTGGCGCATTGGCCCTCCAGCTGTGCGTATTCTATCTTCCTCTCCCTCTTCCTCTGCCTCTGCCTCCCCCTCTCCCCCTCTTTTGAATGTCGCTGTATTGCTCTCTTTTTATTTGGGGCCTTGATTTCTTTGGTAGTGACCCCCTCCTGTGGGATGATGGCCCCTGCTTGCCCTTCCTCTTGGGGCTTCCACGCAGCCAACGACAACGACGAGACCAACGACGAGAAAAAAACCCCTCACCCGGTTGGCATCACACCCAAGTCGGACCAGGCCGAGCGTGAGGCCTTCCTCCGGCGGAAGTATGTGACCCTTGAGTGGGCAAGTGCCGAGTGCAAGGAAGAGGCCGCCCGGGCGGAAGAGCTCCAACGTGAGACCCAGGCCGCCCGGGGGGTGGAGCGTGCGCAGCCGGTCACCGGCATCGGCGGTGGCGCCTTCCCCAACGCCATGGGCTCTGGGTCTGGCGCTGGTGGCCCGGCGGCCGGCGGCATGCCCCCTGAGGGGACTCTCTTCCGGGGGATCCGCCAGCAGCTGGCCCAGGTGGGCCGGTCGCTGGGGAATGCCGCGCAGCAGGGAGCCGCCTTTCCATCGGGCGTCGGCGGGGGCCCGGGCGGGGGCCATGCGGATGCCAATCCCCTGTCGGCCATGATGGCCAACCTCCGTCCCACCGGCCAGACGATGGACTTTGTTTCGTCATCCGGGCCCGGCCCGGGTCCCGGCAGTGGCTGGCGCCAGTCCTCTGGCGGTAGCATGGGCATGTCCCCGCCGGCCGAGGGGTCGCGCAGTGCGCCCGGCGACCTGGCCGAACCGACCATCGGCTGGGAACCGGTGGCGCCATCGCCCTCAGACGGCCTTGGGCCCTCTTCATCACAGCAGCCCGTCGGGCCCTCTGCGCAGTCCCTTGCCGGCAGCATTTCCCAAAGCGCCAGTACCCTCCTGCGGGATTGGATTGGCGGCTTCTCCCGGCTATCCGCCCCGGCTGGCGGCCAGGCGGCCACCGAGAGCACATCCACCCTCGGGGCCGATCCCCCCCCTTCCGGAGGGCGTGAGATGCCGGGGTTCGGGTACACCCCGGCCGGCGGATCGCGCTAGCTCGCCCCGAAGTTGGATGGCGACTGGCTGGGAGCCTCCCTGCCGCGCCCTGGTTGTCAGGCGGTCGCGCGCGCGCGGGGGAGGGCGGCTCCCTCCCTCGGTGTCCCCTTCGAAGCAATACAAACCAAAAACGCCCACACTGGTGATCCTGTTCCTCCTGCCGGGGGCGAGGTGGGCGGGGGTCCATCCTGGCATGATATTGTGGGTGTCGCGAGGGTGTTTTAGTCTCGGGTGGTGTCTCCCAACGATCTGCGCGCCGGGCGCGCGCGCGCGATCTCGGTGCCCGCTGGAAAACCCCCGGCCAGGGGAGCAGCATGTGCGGGTTTTTATTTTTCTCTGGTCTGTGTTCTACTCTTCGGTGACCGGGGCCCTGTGTTGGCTTCCTTGGGGCTCCATTTAATCCCCCTCTCCCCTTCTTGCCGTCTTTTCCTTGCACCTGTTGAATGATGTCCGCACCACCGGACAGTGCGTGGGTCCAAAGTTGGCTGGCGTCTTCCGCTGCCGCGCTTCCCAGCCATGCCTGTGGTGCGTCGCCGTCCATTGAGTCTCTCTCTCCCCCCCTCTCCCCCTCCTTTTGCAACCAGCCATCACCCCTAGCCTGCTCACCTTTGCCCGCTGCGCCCAATGGCCGAAAGGTCCCTGCGCGTCGATTGCCCGAGCCCACGCCCTTGCCACGTGCTGCTCGCAACTTCCCATCTCCCTGGACAGCGACACTGTGGCTGCCCAATCGGCCACCGCCGCCGCCGCCGCCGCGGACAATTCAAAGGCGGAGGCCGAGTCATGTGGCCGGTGCGGGGCCGCCTGCCACGCCCTTCCGCCGTTCGTCAGCTTGGAGCTTTTTCTCGAGGCGGTGTTGCCCTGCTTGACAGTTCGTCCCCCCCACTGACATCGGCCTTTCGAATTGCCCGCGCCCTTTTCGCATTCTCACGCCCCTTTGAAGCCCGACACGAGCCCCAGCGATACCTTGGCCATCCTGGCCTTGCTGCATATGGTGGGCCACCTGGAGTTCTACACCGAGCATCACCTCTGGGACCGGATAGCCCATTGCTTCTGGTTTGCCGGTGCGTCGGTGCCGTCTGCGCCAGCTCGTCCCTCCGTGCGCCATTGACCCTCCTCTCGTGTCGCTCCGGATCTCGGTCCACGTCACCGGGGCCCCATGCAGACCCCTCTCGCCACCGGGCGCAGATTCTTGTCCATGCGACCAGCCACTTCTACGACTCGCCCAGCTGCTGGGCGGGGGCCCGGGAGTACTTCCCCCTCCCTGAGCGCAGCCCGCTCCTCTTCGATGCAGCCACTGTGTGCTACTTGTTTGACCTCCTGGAAGCCGACCAGACCTCCGAAGAAACGGCCTTGTCGGTGATCATTCTCCTGGCATGTCCCCCCTTCAGGCCGCCCTTGCTCCTCCAGATGCTGTCCCATCCTCACGCCGAGACTGACACTCGATCGCCCTATCTCCCCCTGTTCCAGCTTCTCCTCTTCAGTTACTTCGACCGGAACCCTGATGAGGAGGCCCGCGTGGCTGACACCTCCGGGCCGAACCCCATCCTCAACCTCCTGGCTGATCGTGTTCCCCAGCGATCGTGTGTGTTCTCCGAGCAACTGGCCATGTACTATTCCCGGGGCAGTGCGTGTGCTTGCGGTGTGAATCCCCGAGGGGCATACGCCCTCGCAGGAGTCCTTGGCACCCCTCCTTCCTCTCACCATCAGCCCGCCATGGCCCAGTGTCTTACTCCCCCCCCCCCCCCCCCCCCCCCCCCCCCCCCCCCCCCCCCCCCCCCCCCCCCCCCCCCCCCCCCCCCCCCCCCCCCCCCCCCCCCCCCCCCCCCCCCCCCCCCCCCCCCCCCCCCCCCCCCCCCCCCCCCCCCCCCCCCCCCCCCCCCCCCCCCCCCCCCCCCGGCCCCCTGTTTTTCCCCCCCCCCCCCCCCCCACCCCCTCCCTCCGGCCCGGCCCTCACCTGCAGCTGATGGCGACATTCACCAGGGCGGCGACCCGCTCTTTAGCCTGATGGTCGCGCGCTTCGCCGGGGCTCTACACGCCGACCCAGCATCCGACCCGGCTGCCAGGCGGACTTGTAACTTCTTCTACCCCGCGGATCTGCGCGTGGTCATTGACTGTGCCCTGCGCGAGTTGCACAATCTGCCCGCCGATGAGCCGACCTTGCGATCGCTGCGCCGGGCGCACCTGACCTTCCTGGCCAATGTTCTGGCCCGGGAGGAGGTGTATCGTGCCACCGGGGACCATTCCCGGGCTCGGATCGAGGAGTATGTCCGAGGGGTGGCAAGCGTGGCCGGACCCGGCGGGCCGGTTGATCGACGCTTCGCCGCCCTGGCGGGGCGTGTGTCTGAATTGTTGGGTGGAATTGACCCCTCTCATATCACATGACGAATAGAGCAGCCGATCCCTCGCGTCTCCGTGATATTCCGTTCGATCCCGGATGGCGCCCTGCGTTGCCCTGGCGTGCTTCGCCCCCCCGCCCCCCCCCCCCCCCCCCCGACCCGCGCCTGGGCTTCCCTGTCCCCCGTCCGCCCGTGAGGGGGCATCCGACCAGGCTTGTTCCTCCTCTCGGCCGCCGAAGTTGCGGAGGCTCGCGCGTTCGCGCGCGTGTGGCCGCGTGTTTTCCTCCGTTGTTGTGGGAGGGCGGGGCGCGGGGGGGCGGGGGCGTATTCCGTCAACTGTTGGTCGTGTGTGGGCGGATGTATCTGTTGGGGGGCGCCGGGGAGGGGGAGGAGTGACGGTTTCGGCTTGATGCCGGCCTCCACCAGTGTTGCGTTTCCCGGGTCTCCGGCTGGCGGCCCGGCGGGCTAGCCGTGGCACCAGGTCCCACCTGTATACCTCGTCTACACGGCTTGGTTCTTGGCGGCCGGGCGGCCGGGCGGTCGGGCTGTGGTGCACCCGGGGCCTGGGGGCCGACCGTGGGAGCACGCGCCCGCCGGCATTCCTCAGACGGTGGCCAAGAGCTGTGGCGGTGCCGGCGAGCATGCTCCCCCTCAGCCCCTCCGGTAATCCCTTGGTTCCTGGCCCGGGGCAGCCGGGTCGGTGGGGGGTGGGGGGGGGGGGGCACTTGCGCGGGGCATACCTTCCCACCATGGAATTGGAATGAGTTCGTTCCAGGCGGGAGGGCAGGAGGTCGGGGCTTTTGT